ATATATATATATATGAAAATAAAAAATAATAATATTGTAATTGACAATTTAAGTTTGCATTTTTGGTTCACGTAAATGTAACTAATTTATTAATTTATATATAGTTCTATTAAATCACACTATAAAATCTAAATTTATTGTATTAAAACATCATAACAGAATGTGTATGGTTCACTCAAATAACCCAAATAAATGTATTCATATATAAATTAAAAAAGTTAACTATATAAATAACAATCAATAAAAATATATATATATTATTTATTAACTTATTAATTTCATTTTTATATATTGCATTCAATTACATTAAAATTACATTAATAAAAATTTAAGCATTTTTAGATTCCCCAAATTTATTAATATTTTGTATGTATATTTTATTTAAATTTTCAGTTATATTCTTAATACATATAATTATTAATCACATTTTTGGGGGATTTTTGCATTCACCCAAATTATAAATATATTTATATTAAAAATTACATTTTCAGTTTTTAATAATATATTACAACACTGCATTTTTGGTGAACAAATCCTTTAACTGTAACAATAAGCTGCCTTCATTGTTAGCAGTGGCTTTCATATCCTCATATGTTCACCAAAGTCAGTTGTTACATCCTTATTTTGTATTTCTGTCTCTTCCTCAGCTTCCAGAGCCCATCATGCCCTTCCGTCTCTACAATAGTCTGATGGGTCTAGCGAAGGAAAGCCTGGCTGTAGTGGGTCCAGAGGGAGCCGAGACGGGCAAAGGGCCTGACCTGGTGGACCTCGGCCCTGAGACGGACCCTGAACTCTTGGCCCTCGTGGACAGACTCAAGAATCTCCTCAAAGAGCTGCCCAAACCAAATACCGCCACTCTGCGCTACATAGCGCGTCACCTGAGAAGGTGCAAAGCCTAGAATGGACTTCCTCACATTTCAGGGTTTATAGACTGACTCTGCCTAACTCTGTTTATTAAACACTGATTATTTGGTTACTGTCCCTCTGTTTTCAGGATTGCAGAACTGGAAGATGACAATAAGATGAGCCCGAGTAATCTGGGCATCGTGTTTGGCCCCTCACTGATGCGGCCCCGGCCCTCAGGGGCCACGGTGTCTCTGTCGTCTCTGGTGGATTACCCATATCAGGCTCGCATAGTGGAGACCCTCATTGTGTTTTATCCCGCCGTTTTCCATTCGGACTCCAGTCGGCCTGCATGCGCCAGCACCCCCCGCACACAGTCTCTACAGCAGGTTTGAGATTCATACACGGTAGATCAAATCTCTCATGTTGTGCAAACGGTGCGTTTTAATGGGAGGTTAACTGGTTAAACCGTTAATGCAGCACAGATGTGATGTTTTGGTCTGTGCAGGAAAGCAGCATTGATGGAGAAGAACACTGTTCGAATGATGAACGAGGAGTCGCAGATGAACCCGGCGCTGCAGAGTCCGACAAGTTAGAGGGCCATGGTATTACAGACTTTTATTCCTAATATTATTGGTTTATATTCTTCAGATGCATTGTGTATAAATTTAGATTTATTATCTTTAGATTTTTTAACGGTTTTAAATGTTATATATTTCATGTTTTATTTGAATTAATTCATATCAATTTATTCTTATTTAATATACATTTTATATAAATATTGTCCATTTCGAAATACCTTTATACTCAAGTTAATTTTTCACTTTCTTCATTTTGTTTGCCTTATTACACACACACACACAAAATATATTTTGTGAGACTTGTTATAGCACTTGCATATCATTGCTCTTTTGTTGATTTTGATTGCTTCCATTGTCCTCATTTGTAAGTTGCTTTGGATAAAAGCGTCTGCTAAATGACTGTGTATATATTTCAAATATTTTTAAAAAATGTTGTACTCATTTAGGTTTTTCATTTTATTTATTAGCCTTTCATATTAAATGTATTTAAAATGCATATTAATTTATATGAATATATTTATATATAAATAAATTAACCATTATTTTAATATTTTGAAATATTAGAAATTTTGTAGTTGTATGTTTTTCATTTTATTTTTCCCTTTTATATTCATATTTTTATCATAAATTGAATTATTGTTGTTGATATACAAATCCTCCAGTGAACTACAACAGACATACTGACTTCATAAGCATTACTGGACCAGTCTGTATGTGATGTACCGTCCAGCAGTTTCACTCGGTCTGATGATCTTAACAACCTGAAGAACATGCCACAATTTAACTTGATGTAATCAGGCTCTCAAAAAGTATATAACAATTTGGATATAGATTTATCGGCCAACATATCGGTTATCGGCTTTCAAAAATAAAGCATAATCGGTTAGCGGTATCGGCCAAAATTTTCATATCGGTGCATCCCTAAAAGAAACTCGTACAGGTTAAGAACAACTTGAGGGTGAGTAAATGGTGACGGTTTTCATTTGTGTAAACTATCCCTTCAACTGAAAAAAATATATAGTTGCCAAGGCAAGATCTCATTTTCATTTAACGTAACAAGAATTTAAATTTAAAAAAAAAACATTGAAAATATGAATAAAAACTATTACGGTATCATTGTTACTAACATAACAGTGCTATAAACTTCAACCAAAACTCAAAGGATACTACCGCGCCAGCAACTCGGTCACTTCCTCTTTAGTCATGACTATGTGCTCTGGAACAAGCTGAAGGAAATCAACTCATTATTATTGTGCAAATTACATTAATACATTACATTAATAAAAAAATGTTTTGGGGTATGTCACAGTTTACTTTATTTTGCTAGCCTCACTTGCATAAATGAACTATAGTGTCCTGCACCCACTAGTAAAAAAATATAAAAAATTATATCTGGTGTCTAAATTTTTGGTTCGACTGGACTATAAAAACACTGACAGCCAATCAGAATCAGCCTGACTGTAGGCCTGTCACAATAATCAATATATCGACTTATCGCGCAATATATGTACATGACCTCAATTTTTGGTGACGCAATATATCGCCCGTTATATTTACTTATGTCACCATATTTTGTACATTCCACTTGCGCCTGTGTCTTTTGCAGCTTCTCGTACTTAACCTGGTGTAGTCATGAGGTGCTAGTTCACATTTAAAACATGCTTCTCCAAAAAAAAAAAAAAAAGTTTCATCTGCAGATGTGGTCTTGTTTAGGGATCTGTGCCTTTGTGCATACAGACATCTGACTGCTGAGTAGTGATTGTGTTTTTCAGCAATAGTGTGCACCCTTCATTTACAGAGAAAAGAAGGTCAGGGAAAAATCTCCATTCAAGTTCTTTGTGCATTTTTCTTTTTTACTTTGCACTTTTTGTTAGAAAATGTTTATTTACTATTTATTCAGTTTTTTTTTTAAGGTATCTAATATTTTGATACTTAATTTCCATGATCTAAATTCTTAGAAATTAAAAGTTTGTTGTCATTTGGAAGTGAGTAGGCCTTCTCGCATTACTATGCTGTTACATAATGATTATATATTCAGTGGCATGAAATGGTCTTTAAAATAATATCGCTTATCGCAATTATTTCTGGGGCAATATATCGCACAACAAAAAGTTGTTATCGTGACCGGCCTACCTGACTGCGCATTTAATGCTGCAGACGACACGCATGAAGTGCGCTCTTACTGTCAGGTGGCGCAAACGCTGTAGGTACCGTTCTCTGTGAACGGCGTTTAAATGCAGCCCTCACCTCGTGTTCGGTGATGTTGATTAGAAGCTCCTGCTGAAGAAACTGCTCAAGTATGTACTTAGGCGCCATGTCTACCAGAGACTGAAATTTAAAAGACAAACACATAACTGAAGTGCCTTAATAGTTAATGCTCCTCTAAATGTAAGTGCATATGCGTGCAAGTGTCACCTGTTTGGCGGAGGGCGTCATGCCCATCTGGACTACAATGATGGCCCTGGTGATGTTTTCTTCTTGCATTCGCTGGCAATACATCTTTATGGTCTTGATGCCAACCTTTGGCTCCTCTGAAAGCAAGAGCACGGGTGGATATGATAAACCAAGCGTTCGTAACGGACGAGTTCAACAGGAGCTAGACTTGTTGCTGAAGATGCACATACCAGGGAAGAACACAAACATCTGGTCGGTCGGGTCGTCGTTGTGGGCGACCAGCACCGTGAGATCAGTTCGTCGCGGTCGACCTTCGCTGGGTTTGTCGCCAAACTGGCTTCTGAACTCATCCAGAGTCTGATCCAGTTCATCTTGCGTCACCAAATAACCCCGATCGTGACAAAGCTGAAAGATGAAGATGGATATCACAAGGACATAATAGCATATTTCGGTTATTTGGATGCGTACTGTATGTTAGGAGATCATAAATCATGAAACTCCTGCGGATCCGAATAAGCATCACAATAAACTGTCCACGCAGCATGTAAACGATTACATGGCCTTTAATTTACCTGCATTATAGTTTTTCTAATTTTCCATAGTCTGTATGTCTCTTCCTCGTCATCCATATCGCGCTATAAAGAGGACGATATTACGATCAAAACAGACCGCTGTATTCGACGCGTTTACTCCACGCTTGGGTCCCGTTGCTGCCGGCGCGTGTGTATGACGTCAGACGGTGCGCACTTTGATTTCGCATGTCCAAAATAATATCTTTTGTAGAAGCTTTTGCTATCCGCTTTCAACGAATAAAACGTGTTGTGTTGGTAATAGTAAAAAAAATACAATAAAAACAGCAAATTTAAAATAGGTGGTTAATAAGTAACAAATCATCTTTAAATTTGGATGCGTACTGTATGTTAGGAGATCATAAATCATGAAACTCCTGCGGATCCGAATAAGCATCACAATAAACTGTCCACGCAGCATGTAAACGATTACATGGCCTTTAATTTACCTGCATTATAGTTTTTCTAATTTTCCATAGTCTGTATGTCTCTTCCTCGTCATCCATATCGCGCTATAAAGAGGACGATATTACGATCAAAACAGACCGCTGTATTCGACGCGTTTACTCCACGCTTGGGTCCCGTTGCTGCCGGCGCGTGTGTATGACGTCAGACGGTGCGCACTTTGATTTCGCATGTCCAAAATAATATCTTTTGTAGAAGCTTTTGCTATCCGCTTTCAACGAATAAAATGTGTTGTGTTGGTAATAGTCAAAAAAATACAATAAAAACAGCAAATTTAAAATAGGTGGTTAATAAGTAACAAATCATCTTTAAAAAAGTATCGTTATTGATCTGGTTTGAAAACCAATAACATTCTAGAAGCGGTTCCGATTATCTGGCATTCCGTGTGGAAAGAAAGCGCGTGTGATTTGGTTCTTTCGAACAGTTCGTATCAAAGAACCGATTCACAAAAAGATTCCGTGGTTCCTTCGTCGACTCGTCTCTAATATTTAGAGCACATTACGTTCTTTAAACCTTTAAATAAAGCGTGAAGACACATATACGTTTTATTAATACATGGGAGTTTATTGTAATTTCACGGGTCATTACGAATCGTGGTGTTTACTTCACTTCACGAACGAATCGCTCTGTGTACCGGTTCAACTGATTCACTGAAGAGAACCGACTCAAAGGAAGGGTTCATTGAAGAGAAGCCTGTTATTTATTGGAAAGTTTTATGTCCATAAATGTAAATATACTAAATGTAAACCCCACTTTAACATCTTCAGACAAGAACTGAAGATGTATTTAAATACAATTTCAACGTCTGTTAACAAGAAAGCTATAAAAACATCTAGAATTTGTGCCATGTTTAAGATTTTTCCCTAATATACTTGTATTTCTATTTGTGTGGCTTTTTTTCTTCTTCTGTCCTTTTCTTAAGAATTTTTATATTATATTGTTTTTTTTCTGTGATGTTTTATCTATTAATCCTCAAGTGGTTTATTATTGATTGGTATTTAGTATGTTTTGTACGTACTGTAATCCTTGTTGTTTACTGCAATAAAAAAAAGGCCTTTATCCATCATGTTCAGTGCTTTATCGAGCAGTGGGATCATTGGTGCAATGGTATTGTAAAGTTAAATACTTCTGTAACTTTAACTTGCAAATCTGAATCGTATTACTTAATCGGGTAATTATGGGGTTATGTGCTGCATAATTACGGGGTATGCTAATGTTTTATCACCAGTTTACACAAGCAGTCCTAGTTTCAGTGTATTTAGGTCTTTGGTCTTTAGTCTTTGTGTCTCATTCTTCCATAACAGTAGTTCACTTCTTCCGTTAGCCTATATAAATAATGCACAACAATAATCTAATGTAATTTAAAAAAAATTTTAATGATCTTTTTATTGTTGTTGCATACATTAGAAGAAATTTGGTTTGATAAGATCTGCTTAGTAATAGACATTTTTTTCTTTGAAACATGTATTGGATAATTTTATATTTTTGTATCCATTACATATATTTTACAAAAGGATCATCTACAAAATTGTACTATTTATGATATTTTGATATTTCAAATAAATACTAGGCCTACTGCATTACATGTTACCTAAAAGAACATTACATAACCGTGGTAAGTGTCCAAAACTGGCCAAAATACTACTAAGGCAGCTAATTATGACATAAAGTTGAAATTATAGTTTAAAAAGTCAAATTATGATACAAAACTAAATGAAATTATGACGACAAATCGATTGAGATAAAATGTCAAAATTGTTGAAATTGTGAGGAAAATCATATTTATGACAAAAAATAATGACTTGCCTTTAGTCTTATGACATAATCTAAATTTCAAACTTTTATGCCATAATAATAGCTTTATATTTATTATAATTTTGACTTTCTCTCGTAATTATGACTTAGTGTGTCATAGTTTGGAATTTTTATGTCATTAATATTGGCTTTGTCTCATAATTATGACTTATTATCTCATAATTTAAACTTTTTTTCCTCAGAATTATGACTTGGTATATATTCATGACTATTTTATTGCAATTAGTGTGAGTCAAAACATTGTTTCATTTGTTATTAGCCTATTATTTCATTTCATAATATTTTTGTGGCGTGAATCTATTCCTGAAGGCAATGCCTAATTAATATCCAAATGAAATATCATGTGTTTGCCATTCTAATCCACTTTAGAAGCATTAACATTTATATAATGCATACATCAGCGACTTATCTGGTATGTGGACCAAGTGCCAACACACACATCAAGCTATCAGCTTTCTCAGTTGTGTAAGATTGTCACCCAGTGACCTTTGACCTCAATAGGAGTGACAGTCAAATACCCCACACGTAGACAAGCTTCAAGCCTGTAGTCAGCAAAAAATCAACCTATGAGGAAGAAACAGCCTCGGTGTCCAGTTAATATTTATTTGGAGCCCTATATATATGCGGGGCTTTCAGTGTTTGGAGAATTCGGCACTTTAAGAGGATTTGATCTAATACGCTGCCTGCCGTTTCAGCAGTTAGTACTGAAAGGCAGTCATGCGTTTCTTAGGGTCCGCTGTCGTTTTCTCCCTAGTGTTGCAGACAATGGTAAGAAATGCTCTTAAAAGCCCATTATTTTCAAATGTGTGAGTACCAGTTTTTCAGTTGCTTCTGGAATTTCAATATAAAGATTTGTATCTAATTACAAATTAGATTAGATTAGAATTACTCATGTTTGAAGGTGTTACTAACAGTGTTCTTATTCTTTACGTGTGTATATGTATTCAAATCACTCCTATTTGTTTACACCAGCATGTTTTTATTTTCAGTCTGCACCGCTAGAGGACTGGGAGTCGGCCAAATCCATTTATGAATTCACTGCCACGGATATAGATGGCAATGAAGCTTCCCTGGAAAAATACAGGTGAGCGATGGAAATCAGCATGTCATAAAACCTGTTTGTTCAAGTGTGAAAAACATCACAGTGGACTTGCAGTCTAGAGGAGTCGATGCTAGTTAGCAAAAGTCCGAGCCCGTCTGCAGATTTTGGGCTGTCGGAGTCGATATATTTCTATGGAAGCCCATTTCCACAACAACTTTGGCGAATCATAATTATGAGATAAAAAGTCATAATTATGACTTAGTAAGTCATAAAAACAATCTAAATTATGACATTAAAAAGTAAAAAATTACATACTAGAATATAATAGACAAAAATATGAAATTATTGCAAAAAACTTGAGATAAAATGTCAAATGACAAAAAGATTATGAGATAAAAAGTTGACACTTTTCTTTACTTGTCAATTATCTTTTTGTCTCATAATTTCAGCCATATATGTCAGAATTGTGACTTTATCTTATTTATTTGATCTTTTGACTTTTTGTTTCATAATTTGACCACATATATCAGAATTATGACTTTATCTCAATTTTGACTTTTTATCTCATAATGATGACTTAGTATTTTATAAATTCGATTTTGGTTCTCAGTTAGGACTCAAAATCTCATAATTTAGCATGTCATAGTTTAAAATTTTTGTCTTAATTATAGCTTTATCTCAGAATTTTGACTTTATCTCATTAAGTCATAATGTTGACTTTTAATCTCATAACTGTGTCTCTTAATTTTCACATTTTATGTCACAATTATGATTTACCAAAGCATGATTTGGCAGACACAGACTTCCATTGATTTCACAGAAAATTGTGTAATGTATGATGGGCACAGACTATGATTCTATCCAATCAGAGGATATCAAACATGTTTCATATTTTGAGATGATTTTAAAACACACAATGTTTTTATTAGTTTATTCACACATTTCTGCATAAGTCTGGTAGTGTGTTACAGTATCCTCAGTCTGTATGATTGTGTGACACATCATTGCTTTAGTGTCAATCAATTTGTAATTCTAACAAAACCTAATTTACTGTACACTTTAGGGGGAAAGTTGTCATCATCACTAATGTTGCCTCAAAGTGAGGCAAAACGCCGGTAAACTACTCTCAGTTTGCAGAAATGCACGCCAAGTACGCTGAGAGAGGTTTAAGCATCCTGGCCTTCCCATCCAACCAGTTTGGGCATCAGGTATGGGGGGCAAAAACTTTTTTAATGCTCTTAAAGCTAATAAATACTGTGATCTAATAATAAGTTTTTGTTCAGGAACCAGGAACAAATTCCCAAATCAAGGAATTCGCCGAGTCTTACAACGCACAGTTTGATATGTTCAGTAAGATTGACGTGAACGGCGACTCGGCGCACCCTCTGTGGAAGTGGCTGAAGGAACAACCAAATGGGAAAGGATTCCTTGGAAAGTGGGTTGCCAGATAATTTAACTTAGTTGACTTGTAAATTCGGTGGAAATAAATGCTTATTTGATATGGGCTAAGTAGATTCAATTGATAGTCCAGCCAAAAATGAAACGTATGTTACTCAATCTTCTGTGGAACTTAAAATAAGATATGCTGAAGAATGTTGGTAACCAAACAGTTTCTGTTCCCATTGACTCCCATTGTTTTATTGTCCATTTGTGACCCGGGAGCACAAAACCAGTCTTAAGTCGCTGGGGTATATTTGTAGAAATAGCCAAAAATACATTGTGGGTCAAAATTATTGATTTTTCTTTTATGCCAAAAATCATTAGGATATTAAGTAAAGATCATGTTCCATGAAGATATTTTGTAAATTTCCTACTGTAAATATATCAAAACTTCATCTTTGATTAGTAATAT